AGCAGGGCATCCCAGGGGGGAGGGAACAACATTTCAGATCAGAGAATTCATGACATCCCCTTTTTTGCCATAGATAAACAGTCACACCCCATTTTTAACCAACTCACTATTGAGACTAACACAGCTAAATGAACTGTCGACGTCCAGTGTTTTCTAAACTTCTCATGGTATGTCATTGATAATTCAACACAGTAACTGGAAAAAAAGCTGATACCCAAACAATGCAATGAAAAGTCTTTTGTCCAGAGAAAGGAAGAAAAGAGACAAAATAAAAAGGGACCCAAAGAAAAGTGACTGCATTTGGTGACCACTGAAGGGGAAAGACGGGGAGGGGTGAAGCCTGAGGAGGATCTGGCAGGAATAAGCACCGATAGTGCCCGAGAGAACTCTAAAGTCCTACAGCAGAGTTTGGTGGATGCACACCACAAAGACTTTGACTACAAAGACCCCAAATAAGGTGCCCAACAAAGCTCAGGGAACACTCTCTCCAATTTTATCATTTGCCAAGCGTCCTGTCTTAAGAATTTGGCTTGGACAGCGATTTTGACGCTTCATATATACAACAAATTTGAAATTAAATTTTGTTGTCTGCACCCACCTAGTAATAAAATAATCACAATGAATTTACTGATCAAGAGAACTTAAGCACAGTTTGTACATGGAAGTAAGATGGTAGGCCGCTGAGGAAAAGTAACAGAGCAGATTGTACCATGGGAAATGAAGTTTGCCACCACTGGAGTTGATGCTTTTTAAAAAAGGGGGGATGGGAGAAGCGATAAACATAAAACCAAAGAATGCAAAGATGGGTGGGACAGAGATATTATCTGTACTTTCAATAGCTCCAGCAGTCAATAACCAAATTCAGATGAAGCAGAAGACAGGAAAGGAAAAACACACACACAAAAACAAATTTAATTCCTAGCGTGCCTTTTAGCGTTTCAGAATGGATGTACGATCTGAGTCTATCAGTATAATGGGGGGGGCGTCACAAGGAAAGAATGGGATGGTGCGAGAAGCAGGTGAGCTTACGAAACTAAAGAAAAAACAGGAACACCAGTATATCCACTCTGAGGGGGGAGGGAGGTGAAAACGCGAAAGATAAAGAGGATAGATAATCATCAATGAAAATTAAAGACATAAAACACAGACATACTGCACAGATTATAGCAAAGATTTAAAAAGACAGTGGCAGATTGTGGAAAAACCCTGACAACACCAGCCTATGTTTCAATGTTGACGTGACTTTAAAAATGGCATATAAAAGGATGTTGACATGGCTTTTACAGGCTCAACAGGCAGATTCGGACATGAACGCATTTAGGCATTTTGACTCAGGCTACAATACTGTGAGAACAGGTAGGTTAAAATACAGTGACCTGACAGAGGCAGGATGACTATTTATTATTCATCTCTTCTTGTTTGTTTGACCTGTAGTCAGGCAGTGAGAGGGAGGAGCTTAGGGACATACCGCTCAGGCCCACTGCTGTCTGGGACTGACACACTGGCATTGTACTGGGCGTGGCATGGGCAGGGGCCAGGGCCATTCGAGCACAGATGTCAATCAAGTAAGGCGCCCATTTAGGGACAGGGCACGATTATGGACAGGGCCAACCAGGGTGTCAGGTGGGCGGGCGCAGGAGGGGCCATCCAGAACATGGGCAACAGAGGAGGAAGTGGGCAAAAAAGTCAACAGTAAAATAATAAACAAGGGAGAGGGAAGAGGGAAGAGGAATACATTTTTAATATACAGGCTCTACACTGTTCAAACGTGACTTTAATTTGATTCTCTCAGAGATTGGTTTGTCAAAGAGAGAAAAGGAGAAAATGTAACATTGGAAAATGGGTAATGGTACATTAAGAACATGAAGAGTTCAATGTTGGGGAATAGACCAGAGACAGTGAGAAAGAGGGGTAGAACAAATTGTGGAGGGCTAGAGAAAGAGGCAATGACATTGAATGAATTAGGAATTGCTCAGGTTGCCTTAACAAATGTTAGCTGGCGCTGCAGGTGACTTTGTGAACACCGCACTGTGCCCATAAATTTAAATTAACAAGAGCATCAGTGTTGCCACAATAGCATTGTTATAATAAATCATCAATATGGAGAAACAGACAGGAAATTGGACTTTTGTCCAGGGGCCAGTTTAGCTGAGTGAGAAAAAAAGATAAAAACCAGCCCCAAATGGTTTGTCAGAACATCTCATGAACAGAAGGCTAATATCACAGGCATAAGCTAACCTCACCCTTTGTTTACATAGAAGAACACATTGCTAAACACTAAAACAAAATTTAAATTGGTTATCCAGGGTTAATGTTTGTAAAAAAAGAAGAACTGCTGTCCTACAGAGGAGACTGGGTAGTTTTGAGAGGCTGAACACCAGTGGAGGGAAAAATAAAGAATACAAAATTAAAATTAGAAACTAAATTTAAATTCTGGGTGCATAAAATAGATGTACTCACGTCTGTACGAAGGGCTTTGATGTTTTTGCCACCCTTCCCAATTACAGCTCCTGCATTCTGAGAAAACAGAGAATACTTAGAAAGACTGAAAACAGAACAAATAATTGAGAAAATGTGAACTTTGGCACCGCAATTAACAGACAGCACAAGAGAATATTACAAATACAGAAAATCTCATTAAATGTATGAATACTACTAATAAAGGGTGGCAATTAATTATTCAAAAAGGCAGAGATGTGATTGGGGCAACAAAAAGGAAACCATGAAAAATGGAAGGAATACAAAAATCTGCAGTCTTACTGAACGCGTGCACAAAAGAAAGACAAAAATACGAACGATCACGTAAAAGGTTCGACATAGAATGTGAAATGAACGGGGAGCTGATTTACTTTGCTCTGCAGGAGGATGCGAAGCTCAACCATCTCGTCAGAGTTCCTGGAGCGCTTAAATGATTTCTGCTCATCTGCATCCTCAGCAGGGCGCTTACCTGGCATAAGGAGATAAAAACGCACTGACAACTCTGCATAACCCACCTTCCGCAATGTAACATATTTAATAATCAAAAAGACCACAGAGAGCAGCGAAGCACTCAATCACAACACTTAGAGAAATACTCTGTTTTCACATTATACGATAGATCTACACAGATTGCCGTGTGCAAAACTACTTCTTTAATGCTTCTATGAAAACATGAAAACTAAAAAAAAATGAATATACATGGCTTAGATCCTTAACAATTTAGGACATCAACCCTTTAGACACAATACTTTTCACAAATATCTAATTTCCAGAATCAGAGCTGTAAGTAATCTGCTACAACACTTGCTGTTTTTTTATTACATAAAAGATATTTTGGATGTAGATAGATTAGTTAAAACCTGTTAATAAGCATTTTAACCGTAACAAATAACATAAAAAAAAGCTGCTTTTCTCTTCTTTTATACCGTTAGTCTCTGTGTTGCTGAATGAAGTTTCTTCTTGCTGCTCAATTTCTGTCTCCATGGTCTTCTGAGAGTGGAAGAGATGTGTTGGGCACCTCGGTCCGGGGAACAGGTGGCAGCAACAGGGAGAGAGAAGCACAAAACTGGCCCCTGTGAGCTGTGGTAGTCTGTCAGCATCGTAAGAAGAGGAAAAAAAAACAACAGGACAATTTAAACTGTGCTTGAGATCCGGCTATTCAAGAACCAGGGAGGACATGGTGAGGAAAAAGTGGCAGAAAACCGAGACTCACCGATATTTATTACAGAGACAAGGGCGTGTTGATAGGCGGAACTAAATAAGCAAGGACCAAACAGCTGCTGCGACCTGAAGGAGAGACAGAGAGAGAGGCTGGTTGAAATATTAAAACGTAAAATAAAAAGACTCAGTGGTAAAGTTAGACACACAGATTATGATCACATACACTGTGTTTAATCTGCGGTTCATATTCAACTAAATACGGGTCAACATGTGTTAAAACGCCATCATTATACGAAGGGAAGTGGTTATTATTATTATTAGTAGTAGTATGTATATCAGATACCACATCGAGAGAGGATTTTGTAGTGTTTCGTAATGTTTCGTAATGAAGGAAAACACGTTCACGAATAATATTAACTAAAATACCCGACGTGAGAATTAATGCTACCAAACGCTGCATAACACCACACACTGACAAACCCAAGCGATGTGTGTGTGTGTCGAGGCCGGGAATTAAATAGTTAAACACAAACAGTGACATTGATTAAACCGAAAGTGAGATAACTCAGCTCAACTGGCGCTAACGTATCGACCGTTGGCTAAGCTAAGCTAACTAGCCTGGAGGGAAACGCGTCAGCCGCGAGCTTCGTCGTGTAACATTCAAGGTTTCGATGAGCGATTTCACCAAGTTAAACATCGACTGCACCTCCTCTAAAGCGCTTTATGGGTTGCATGCGGGATACGTATACGTATGTACCGCTGATCCAACGCGAGTGTGCTGGTGAGATGATGCCAGTCGGTCGATACAAAGACCAGGCCGAGTCTCTCGAGCTAGCGGCGAGCTAATTTCGCCATGTTGCCATAATGTCGGATGAGCACAAGGGGAGCTAACAGCTAATTAGGCAGCGCTGCGATGGACGCAAAATAAGCAGCGCAGTCACTGCTAAAAGCGTGTGTTTTTTTTATATATATAATTTGTACCATTAGGGTAAATGTGGCACAGAAAAAGTGGGAAAAATCGTCCAAACACAAACCTGCAGTGCAACAACACCTCGCTCGTCCCCTTCCTTCTCTACCTAACCTGGAAATGTACAAGTTGAGCCGAAGTGTGCTGATTGGTTGAACGGAAAGCCAATCAAACAGGCGAGAGCGCCGATTGGCTGGAACAGACGTCAATCACACGAGCAGAGGCGTTTCCAAAGCGAAACGATAAGGCCAGTTTCCGGGTACACATTCCACTTTACTGGTTGCTCAAGTTGTTGTTTTTAAGTTGTCACCTGCAGCGGAAATGTTAATTTGTGTCTTTGTAAGGACTAAGGAGTTGTAATTGTTATGTTTAACAACTGCCATTGTATAAAGTAGATTATCTGGTCCTGTTTTAGGGGCACAAATCTGAGGTAACAGTAGCGTTAACATTGCTAAGTAAGTTTGGTAGAGCCAACTTTGGCGCCTTGGCTGCTTTCCACAACACTTCGTGGATGAGACTGCTGACACTGCCTCTCAGGTAACCTTTATAACAACACTTACTTAAACATGACCATTTTTATGTCCCGTTTTTATAATACTGTCGCATCCATGCCTGGATTTCCTCACTCAATCTCTCTTTCTATCTGCTCCATAGTGCCCAGACGTGACCATTTGCAGAACCACAGGGCTTATCCATCCTGATATGATCACAGAACAACATCAGAAAGCAATTATCATGTGTTCTTCTATCATAATAGTCTAATCTCTCCTGTCGATAAATCACCACAAGATTTGGTGTCAAGTGCTTCCGGACATACAGAGAAGATGACCACTTAAGCCCTCAGGGACTGCAAGGTGTTGTGCCATGAATTAAATTAAATGTATATACTACACCAACAGCACTGACATTTGACACTTGTTTTGCCGTTTATATTTTTTAATATTGGTGCATTATAATTGAAAATTGGAACAATTTAGTCCGCAAATGAAACCTGAATTTACTAAATGTATTATTGCTAATGAGTAATCCAGAGTAGATGAATTAGCCATAAATGCATTTAAATATGAATAACTCAAACTCAGTAATCAATTACATGTAAAAGCAGGTAACAGTGGAAAAAAAATAGCAAAAAGTGGCCAAAGTCAAATACAAAACAAAGGAGGAGGATGCCCCCTGATATCCAGGCCGTGGTGCGTGCTACCCAAGCCTGGCTGCAGTCCTCCTGGCACGTCCAGGTTCCCTTTGCCTGGTTGGAGGCCTGCGTGGAGTGGCTGCAGGAAGAGGCAGGAGGAACGGGTCGTCTGTCACAGCAGCAGATCAACCAACAGGTACGCAGGATGTAGGACTGTAATTACACAGGTGAATGCAAAATGATCACAGTCTAGACTTCGCTCAACTGTCATGGAAATAGCTCAGTTAGTATCACACAACCTCAGTAAGGAGGTGTTTACAGACAGCTGTTCTCTTTTACATACTCTTTTAGGGTTCATTCACTCGCTTGTCCAATCTTCTTGCTGTTTCAACCTATATAGTGTTTATATAACTCTTTTAAGCCCTTAAATCAAGCAAAAACATCAAATGTTTGTTGTTTTCGGATTTTAAAATGTGAGATTTTCCTGCATTTCTCTGTTTTAAAAGATCTTTAGATAAATATATGTTTATTTTTGGACTGTTAGTTGAACAAAATAAGATATTTACCGATTTTTCTTTGACGTTTCGTAGACTAAATGATTAATCAGAGAAAAAAAATCAACAGATTGGTCCATAATGAGAATAAATCGTTAGTTGCCACCATGCACAGCTGCTGCATTTGGTGTTGTGGTATATGCAGTGTGGTGTATGACACTTTGCCTCTCAGGAGTGATCCGGTCTTTAGGGTGAACCGCTATAGAAGGAGTAAACCAGATTGAACTGAAGAATCTCCTTAACACAACACATGGTTTTTTTCCTTTCTCATATGGAAGGAAATTCTAGCCTCCTTGTATGCAAAAAGAGACATAAGGACTCAGAGTATTTACGTAGCTGTTTTATTTAAGTTGGCATGCTAAGTAACCTCAAAAGATGCAATACACACTGTGGGGCCTACTAAACAAATATTGTCGAACTACAAATATGCAGCGCACAGAAAGTACAACTCACTGGAGCCTGAAGACTACTGTGTACTACCATCAGCTGAGAACAAGTGGATCATACTGTTGTGGGCAGTGATCGGCAAAAGTGGATGATTGAGGAGTGAAAGAACACCTCCTGGTCTGACAAATCCTGGTTTCTGTTCCAACATGCAGATATCAAGGCAATTTTTTTTGCGTAAACAGCATGAATCCATTCTACCAAGTGTCAGCTGTACCAGCTGGTAGTGGCGTCATGTGGGGGTATGTTTTCCTGCATTTACGCATAATTTTTTACGCCACAGTGTACCTAAATATTGTTGCCGAGCAGCTGTGTCCCTCCATGGCCAAAGTCTATCTTTGCAGGATAATGTTTCATTTCTCAAGGTACATATGATATCCTGATGGTTGCAGGAACAAGACAAGTGGCTCACATGGTCACTAGATCTCGAAGCTGAAGGGCACTTTTTGAGCGATGAGGATAAGGATGTTAAAGATGGAGACCAAAAATCTGCGGGGACACTACTGAGTCACTATGCCTGTGACGTCTATAGCTATTTGTTGAGTAATTTGTTTGAAGAATTAAAACTTTTGTATTGGCAAAATTGGATGAGACCCAGAGCTAAGTGTGGGTAGTGTGCTCTTATACGCTCACTATAATATTGTTTAGTATTGTGTATTGTAAGGGCCACTTATGTCATGGAAGTGAATGTAACTAATGTCATGTCACAGAGGTGTAATAATACAGGGTGTCATAAAATAGGTGTTACAGTAAGATATGCCTCCCTGATTGATGTGAAATTGTAGGCGCTGGACCAGTGGCTGTTGACAGACCTGAGGGACCTGGATTACCCTGTTCTCCCTGAGGGGCTCAGTCAGGCCCAGAAGACTGAACTCAGCGGCACCTTCTGTGTCCAGGTACAGCTTTGTTGATTATATATTTCATGTTATATATTTGATCTCGTGTTTATCATTAGATTTTATGTTTGGGAGAATAGCCGATTGATCAGTAGCAAATGATAAATTAGCCAGAGTTGGCCTAGAAGTCTGGCTTAATACTAAAAGGCACCCTCAAAACCTTACTTACATATATAAACAGCAAACAGTATGCTGAGGACAGTATGTACACCTACAGCAGAACACATGAGAAAAATCATGTAGCAGTACAAAAATATTCAAGCAAAGAAATAATCATAATGTTTCTATTGCTTTTGTTTATTGTAGGCATCAGTTTATATTGTTCTTATTGTAGTTTGTGGCGCTAGATCTTGTAAATATTTATTTAAAGGCAATTTTTGCTTATCAACGTAGCACTTTAGATATCTCCTATTCACTTTATTATAATTGATGTGTTCTTTTACACGTTACAGACTATAATCCAATAGACCGATGATACACAGAATAGTAAAAATCACACAGTAAGCTGTTGTAGCAAAAATATGGGTTGTTGTGCAAATTCAAGGAAAGACAATTGGAGTACAACGAAGCACGGCTGGATTTCAGTCTTCCTTTAGATGGACCCTGAGACAGCAATTCAATGTTAGTTTGTTCAAAATATACAATAATGGGAGCCACAAGATGCATGTTCAGCTCACAAATGTATCTAGAAGTTCAAGAAATTCTTACTGTAATATAACTAAAGTATTATTTCATTAGATGTTTAATAAAGCAATATACAAGGAAAAGGCATCATATCCAAAGCCCCCATTCTGTTTCAGATTGACTCATTACTGGACATCAGTCAGCCTGCGTATACTCAGCTGCAGGCGTTGAGGGGTACAGACTGTCCAAATGACGAAGAGTCTGCAGTCACGCAGGCCACCCAGAGGCCCTGGGAAACCAGACCAACCCGGATGCTACTATTGCAGGTCAGAGGCATTTATCAAATACAGTAGATGCATATAAATCTTCCTTGAATGTCAACGTTGTACGTCTCAAGTAAACAAATTATGATTAACTTTAATTAGTGTGTTTGTGTGTGTTTATTGAACTACTGGCTTTTGCATCTGCACACCTACTCAAAGCATTGTGAGTGTGTCTTAGAAATTGCAGACATTTTTTTCCTACCACTTATTCTCTCCCAACAAATAGCAGTAAAATAGCATGTAGCACTTCACAGCTAGACTAAAGGGTAATGCAAGGTTTCCTTTAGAGATCTACATCTAGTAGAAAACTCTTCATATCAAGGATGGAGCTGTATTTTTATTATTGTTAATAAAAAAAAGTTTGTTAAAATTATGTTACAGCATTATACATGGGCTGGACTTGACTACAGTTTATTTTACATTATAAATACAGTGTCACACTATTTACCAGTGTGTACAATTAGACTCAGTCAAGTGTCTAACCCTGATCTACGACCAGGCTTTTTCTTTGTGTGTTTGGTTGGGTAGAACAGAGAAGACTTCTGCTTCTCTTCCTAACTGAATCTGAGTGGACAGGTAGAAATCATTGAGAGCATATGAAAGAGTAAATTGCTGGGATATAAGGCACAGACTATAATTTTCACCTTAAGTATTTCACTTGTCACTGCTCTATGGTTTCTCAAGAATAGTGCTGGTGTTGCTTAGAAACGATGCAATGGCTTTTCTTTTTTTTTTCCTTTTTCTTTTTTACTGTTTTTCCCTTTTGAGCAAGTCATGTGATGCAAAGACCCATGGCAGTTAAAAATGCACTGGAATCACTGGGTAAGAAAGCAGATATGTTCAGATAAGTCCAGGCCAGCTGGCATATATGCAAAACAGTTATTTCTTACTTTTCGGTCCAGGTTTAAAGCAGCAGCAAAGTTTTGGGAGTTGTGAACAAGTCACTGTTTCCGTGTCAGTTTTTATGTATTTTATATTCTGTATTTTTAATATATTCTAATTTAAAAATGTCTTAAAAGAGTTTAGTGAAACAAGGTTGAGGCAGCAATAATGTTGGAAATTGAATTCCATTGTAATATTTTGCGAAAGTAAATCTGTAATAATTCAATCCCTGTTCAGGCAAATACACTGTCTCTGTTGTACAGGTGACAGATGGAGTCCAGAGCTTGGAGGCCATGGAGTATCAGTCTATCCCTGCACTCAGCACAGCTCTCAGGTTGGGAACTGATCTGTAAAACACTTAACTGTGGTGTCTTAGACTGTTGTTATGTTACGTGTTATGTTTGGGCAGAGATATCATGGAATCAAAACAGCCAGTTTCTGGAATATTAACATGATTGATTTTCTCCGTTAACTCTCAGGCCTGGTGTGAAGCTGCAGTTGCACGGGCAGATGGTTTGCAGACTTGGGGTGCTTCTGCTGGGGCCGTCCAACATCAAAGTCCTGGGTGGTGAGGTCGAGGACCTGGTTGACCGGAATAACCAGGTAAACTGCTGGTTTCTGTTTTAAAATGTAACTAATACATGTTTTATGTTTTGTGTGTGTGTGTGTGTGTTTTTTTCCTGCTTATGAAACAACAATAAAGACATAATTCCAGCTGTTCATATACAGCAGTGTATATGATAATAATAATAATAATTTATACAGATCCAGTGGTGATTTCCTGTTCTACTCTCACAGGGCAGGGTCCTGTGTAGGACGCTGGGAGTTCCTGAGGAGCAGCAACAGCAGCAGCAGGAGGGCGAGGAGGCCCAACCAGTACAACAAGGTATATTCATGATCATTTTAGTATCTTTAATAGTAGATCATGTGCTGCAAAGGTCACTGATAGTATGACATGTCTACTGTAATACTACTACAAAGTTTGGTGTATATTTAAGTAGAAATTTAGATTTCATAAAGATTAAGGCCTGTTTAAGAATGTAAATTGAGGCCTTAAATTGTTGTTTTCTTCTTTATATTATTCTTTATTTGACTGACATGCCTCTTTATGCTTCTCTGCTTAGGCAACCAGGAAATGGAGGATCTAGAACTAGGTGACGCAGAGTTGTTGGCCAGTCTGGAAGCCCAGGAAGAGGTGGGAAGGGTTCAGGTTGGGCCTGTTCGAGACAGTGGCTATGGGACTCTCAGCGAGACCTCCACTCAATCCTCGAGAAGCTCCTTTGTCAGGAGCCTTGTGTCTACAGCCTCATCCAGGTGGGTGGTTAACAATATGATGTCTTGGCATTTTGATGCTGGAGCTCCTCAGTTTTCACCGTCAGGCAAATATACTTTGACATTTTGAATTTCAGCTTAATGTTTTTGGAAAAAATGTCAGCATTTGTCTTTCAGCTACTTTAGGAGGCATTTAGCACTTTCATTCTACAGTCTATTGACAAACTTATTGTGTTCATTTGGGTGTTCATTTGCAGCTAAACAAATGAGAATAAATTGCTACATAATTTGATTGTTTTGATTTTAAAGGCGAATCATTAATTTGATATAAAATTCAAACCAGCTATCTGGTGTTAGTTATTGTAAATTTACCAACTTCAAAGGTAAGACATAGCACTTTCAAGTGATATCTGACATATAATTCTCTAGATCCCCTTTGTTTCTGACTCCTACCATGGAAAAAATAATCTGGCCTGGACTGTGAAACTGGTCTGTGTTTGAATTTTGACTTTTCATCAACAATGGTTTGAAGCTATATTAACTCAGTCCAACATTATTCTCTTGCAGACGTGAAGCCTCTGTCCATTCTCACAGAAGTGATTTTACCCAGAGCAACAGAGGTGGTTCAGCCCAAGATCGACACCACGGTAACGAACAAGAGGATTCTGACCTCTTTGACCCCGTACCTTCTGATCACTTGATTCAGCCAGAGATCCCAGATCACAACATGGCAGACGATGACTTTCCTGATGACGATCTTCCTCTGGATGAGTTGTGTGACAGTGTGATTTTTCAAGAAAGTACAAATGTTACTGACAGCAGTCACAGAAGCACGCCACAGGACAACAGCACGATAACAGGAAATCCTAATCGAGCAACGAAACCCCAAACTTCGAACGGCTCTGGGTCACGGCTCGGTTCTAGCAACTCCAGATCCCCCACGCAGAAAAGAGACTATCAAGGCTGTACTAAAGGAGCTACGGGGCAGTTATCTGCAGCAACCTCCGCACCCTTCTTTTCCCCGGCTGCTTTAGAGCCATCACATGAATTAGAATTTCTTACTAATGATGAGAGTAATTTCATGGATGAAGACATGGACTGCTTTCTCGCAGAGGTAGAAATGAACACACTGCAAACTGAGAGGATTGGAGGGCCAAATCAGCTCTCTGTTCAACACGGATGTAGAGACAGAGAGAGCTCTACCAACAAAGCAGAAACTTTAGGCTCATGTCGTAGACTTGGCAGCGACTCATCAAGAAGTGTAACACCTCAGGGGCAAATCTACACCTCAAGCGCTGCAGAATTTGATAGACTATCTGCTAAAAAAGATCCACAGAGTGACAGCTCAGTCCCTGCTCTCACTCTGACCTCTCTACCTTTTACATATTTGTGCTTGCTGGATGAGATGATGTCCAAACCACACCCCCACACCACAGAGATCCATGTCAAAGCTTTCATTGTGACTCTTTTGGGGAAGCTGAGCAGCAACAGCGGCCTTTGGCGCGTCTGCGCTACAATATCCGATGGAACTGATTACCTGGACGTGGAGCTGTCCGATGAGGTTCTTACAGGCCTGCTGGGCTTCTCGGTGGCGGAGAAGGGGGCTCTGAAGCGTGACCCGGCCCGCAGGGGTGAGCTGGACACTGGGATGAGGAGATGTCAGGAAGAGCTGGTGGACATGTGCTGCGTTATGACTATCCTGGTCCAACCAGAGGGCAGAAAAGCTGTGGTGACCAAGGCAGAGCCCGTCAGTGAGAAAGTACTCCAGGAGCTGGAGCAGAGGGCGAAAGACAGGAGAAAATAAACACAGAGGACTGGTTGAGGGGATGTGGGTGATAATGAGAAAATTACAGACAGTGGAGAAATATATTACCCTTAAGCAGAGATGAAAAATTGCCAATGAAACTGAGGCAAATATAACATTGCTTATCAGCATTGCCTTAAACATACAACGTCATGTGATGAAACTAAGGTGTTTTTCAGGATTGGTGATCAACCTGCCCCTCTGCTTCAGATTTGGAGAGCAGAATGTGTGAACTGGATGTCTGATGATCAGCAAGCAATGTGTTGCAATGCATCCATCTGCTATATGTGAATGTGACATTCTGTCATTTTTATTAGAGGATTTCATTCATCTATTCTGCGTCACTCCCGACAAAGTAAACAGATTAAAGATGGAAAAATGCAATCTATCCTTAATTGTATGTAACGTTTAAAACTCTGCGAAGAGAAGAGTGAAGCATGTGGGATGAGAGAAGGGAATCGGGGTAAAGAAATAGTTCATATTCTGATTGTTGTAATGAATTGCCAGCCTTTGCATTCATTCAGTACATCAATTACTTCTGACTGAAAAATGATTGAATATCCAAGGGCAGCGTGGGTCTTTAATAAACTCCCCCAGAGGAGAATGAGAGGAAAGGAAGATAAAGGAGAGACCTTGAGCTTCGATTATTTCTGTTCATTATAGAGCCTCATCTGTGTTTTTGTCTTTGATGATTACATATACCACACATTTGATGTTTGTCTGTATTTACTGTATATTGAAAAAATTGATCCTGAAGGTTTTATAATTTTCTTTCGCTCTCTTTGACTAATAAAACATGCTTGAAGTAAGAGCTCGCTGCTAATTTTACCTTTCCATTTCTCCTTGTCAAATGAGTATTGTACTCCTCAAGATTACGTGAATAACCAGACAAACTAGACCGCTGCACTGTGTTTCATTTGGTTTGTAATAGTTTTATTAAATGGAATGTGCGCTGTTTAAGCACACATAATGATAATTAAAAGTAGCCTTGCAGTATTCTCTGGTCTTGTTGCTTTGTAGAGCTAAAAATCTCTCTTTAATATGAAACATCTCAACAATTTGCACAACACAAATTAATTTGTGTCTGGTCTGCCATAATACAGTATAATTAGATGGCAGCCTTTCATACTTTGATGTCTTCATTGTGAAAATGAGCAAAACACAGCCTAATAAAGGTACCATGGGGAATGTATGTTAGTATGTATGTGTGCTTACATTTGTGTGTTTATGCAGGAGGGCACATGCGTGTATGTTATTGCCTTATGCCACTGTGTGCACTTCCATTCAGGTAGCTTGTCTCAGATCATTAAGGGCTAATCAGGTTGAACGTCTAAATCAGGACCCTGCTATGCATTTCGATAGCCTGTTATGTGCTAATGAGGCTGGTTACGATGGAGGGTGGGGGAGAGAAGCAACCCATGGGGAGATACAAGTGGAATAAATATTGGGTGATAGAGTAAATGAAATGAGGTGCTGTCTCAGTGGGTACAGAAGTGATGCTGCAGTCAAACCTCATTATATACAGTGTAACTGAATGTATTTATCTGGTAATTAGGCGTACTGCGGGCTATATGTTGAGTAGCTATGTACTAAAATCTCCCAAATGTGTTTATTTTGTTGTTTCTATTTCATATTCAACAGGTTTACAGTCAGGTTGAAATGTAGGGAAGAGAAGAAACTAAGAAGAAAAGAAGAAGAACAAAAAAAAAAAAACAGCTGTATGATGGTATGTTAAAGATAAAGTAATATGTTACATTATAGTATAAATCATAGTATACAGTGTGCATTTAGTCAAGTACTGTATAAATGTAATTCTGGGAATATTTACACGTTTTACTTCAACTCCACATAGTCAGAGGGAAATATTCGATTTGTATTTCTACGTTTATTTGGCAACTTTACCAACTGTTGCTATATGCATTGCATATTTTACATTTACATGAGCTCATAACATATGATTATGAATAAATTTCAATATTTTAGTACCAGCAATATGTAAAGTAGTTAAAAATAACCCCACCTTGAACATCTGTACCATATATATGATATTAATATAATATATGTACATATATAAATGTATATACTGTATATAATAAAACACACTTAAAGGGGGCATTTTGCATAGTGACTAGTTTTCTTGTTTTATATTTTAATATATTAGTATATTTTACTGATAACAATAAATGATCATTGACTCTTACTGTCTTTTTTCTTTTTACATTTTGCTTAAGTGAAGGATCTGACTACGTCTATAAATAGAGGCTTTAGTTCCAGTAAATTAATAGGACAGAAGTGGACAGGGGATAAATACAGTGCAGCTGACACTAAACAAACAATTACAGCAGGAATTCTTATCTAAGGGATCTCTTGTGAAGATCAAGACTTTCATCATTTCCTCATAAATGTGTTACATGTCTGGGGTTCATTGAAAGGCTGGGTGACACAGTCTTGTGAGGAAATTACAAATTTTGAGTCTTTAAAAGTTTGTCATGCAGTGGCACATGATAAATGACATATTCCAGAAGCAGCATGAGAAAGTACTCGACTCCCCTAATAGCTTTCCATTTGCAATATTATTTCCTCGATGTTAGTCTTCCACTTCTGTCTCAGTCCGGAGCGGCAACAGGGGGAAAAATATGCTTTTTCATTCCCCTGTGAGTTTGGATGTTCCTCTTCACTTAGACAGCTCAACCTCTCTTTTAGGCCTCCATCAAAATGAGCAAATGGTTTCTCTTCATGGCAAAAACATACCTCTTTACATGTGTGTGTGCCTGCTGAGGCTTGTGAATGTGAATCATTAAAGGAATAGAACATTATGAGGAACTTGGACTTAGGAAACAATCAAGTACCTTTCTACTTTGTTTTGGTTCATCTGGGTGGATGAATGGAGGGCTACTGCGGGGATGATTACTGTGGTTTGAAAAGAAATGAAGAGAGGATCCATTTTGTGCTCATATCAAAGTTTTTAAGGCAGTTTTTATCTTGACTAACAAAAGTTTTTGGTGTCATTGTACTTTTATACGGAAGACCATTAAAACAATATTGTGTCAACATTTCTATTTATTAGGAAATAACACATTTTTATTATCACACACATAACTTTAGTCTTTGGGTCAGGACAAGAGCGTAAACCTTTACGGCACTAAGATTTTGGTGAAACTGGCTCATAATTTATGGGGAAAATACTTTCCCTCTGATGTCTTCCAGCTGTTCTGATGACAATAAACTATCTGATGTGAAATGTAGCTGTTGTTAGCTGGATGCTCATTGCACCGTTGGGGAGTTAGTGTTTACACTGGTAGAGTGGGAGCTTTGGACCAACGTCATACTGGAGACAGGTAAGCGGGCAATGTAACCGAACTCAGCAGCTTTTACGGACATAGATAATGGCAGACATGTAAAGACCGATCAGGACAATGAAGGGAAGCTAGGAAGAGAAAAGGGGAGAGAAGCCTAAAAACAAACCAGAATAAATCTGAGACTGCTTTTAGTCGTTAGCGAGAGCTTTGTGAAATAAAAGGCTGGAGACAGACGGTGAGCTGGTCTGCTTGCTCTGTCTTGTCTCAATGCACTTGCTTGATATTGACGTTCATAAGTAATGTAATCGGAACAAATGCATGTGTACAGCTGTCCTTACGACAATGGTATTGCACTCTGAAAAAGGGGGTTGCCAAATCGCAGTACATACCAAATGTTACATAGTGTTGCTTTATAGAACAGTAGTTTCTCCTTTGGACTTAGAAGCAGAGGTTGAAGCGAGGGAGTTGCAATCTGCAATTACACCACTGGATGCTACTAAATCCTACCCACTGGACCTTTAAGTAAAAGTAACAATACAGTGTAGAATTAAAAGTATAAGTCGAGCATTCAAATTCTTACTTAAGTAAAGCATTTCAGAATAATATATATGTTTTTTTATAGTGTTATTATTATTATTAATGCATTAATGTCTAAGCATCATGTTGCAGCTGGTAAAGATGGAAATACACTGCTGGGTAGCTTAATCAATAATAATACATAATATTATTATATTTTCTATTAATAATCTGAATATGAAAAGCAACAAAAGCTGTGAAATAAAGTTAAAAGTAAGGCTACAATATTTGCCTCTGAAATGCAGTGTAGTAAAAGTATAAAGTATAAAGTAAAAACAGTAAAGCGGAAGTATCTCAACATTAAAATTAAATTTAGATTAAACCTCCTGGTCAAACCAATAAGTGTGAGCAGTTTGAGTTTAAGCTGTACCATTGTACCTACAGCCAACCTAATGAAATGGTGCCACAGTATTTTTCCATTTGAGGAGAATCAGTTACTGAGTGAGCAGTGTCGAGAAGGCCACAACTACAGCTTGGTTAGCTTTGATCTTTAAGTCATGGGTAACTTAATATGAATATGACCATCAAAGGGTTAGGATCAATAACATTGCCACATTTTAAAAGGCCATCAAGAACCCCTGTTCAAATATCTGTTGGTGCCCAGATCACATCCGCATATTATAAGTCAACATTTTGTGCTTGCTGTAATCATTCCTCCTCTTCATATTGATCATTTAAAGATCCCTTTCTAAGTTTAATGTAAATTGTCAAATTAAGTGGGTCCAAAGTCAAAGTCTTTTTAGTATGCAGGGGTGGGGCGTGCATGTGATGGCAGCTGCTGCACCTAAAAAAGGTCAGGCCACACCCGTTTGGTGTCAGATGCTGTCAAATTTAACTAATTAATTTAGATTAATTAAGAAGAATGTAGAATAATACTATAAAATGGAAATTAATAAATTAAATGTTATGTCCACATTAAGTGACAGGATTAAGTTCAATGAAAGACACGTATTTGGAAAAAAGTCTGGTTTGGAAATAAAACACTTTATTGATTTCTAATGCCACCTGCAGATATTTCTATTAAATGCTAACCCAAATAATGTAATGCTTTTGAGTTAAAATATCCTAATTTGGGGGCTTTTCCAAGCAAATACTGATAGATGTTAAAGTCTCCATGCCACCCTCTTCCCACCCTGTGAATATTTCTATAGATCTGCCCCTGTTAGTATTAAATTTCCTCTTTGTGCTTCTCTGCACAGTGTTTCCCTGTTGAGCTGCTGTGGGTTTTATAGTGAAAGGTAATTTTGTACTAAAAAGAATGAAACTTTGGAATATATGCACTTGATACTGCGTGTTTAACTTGGGCGGCTGGAGCAGGGAATGGATATGATGGATGTAAGGGAAAATTCAGAAATAAAGCGTGTGTGTGTGTGTGTGTGTGTGTGTCTCTGTGTGTGTAAAGTGTATGTAGAGTAAAATATGAAAAGACAGTAATGAATTTGAAGATGTAATCTTGCAATTAAGGAGAAACAATTAATCCAGGTCTTTGACCTCCTACTAATGACTCAGGTGAATGATGGTTAACTAGACTTAATGGGAAAACCTATTAAAGCTCAGTGAGGCAACTCTGAAAGAGTGCAGACAAACGATTGACAGGCCCACAATACAGCTGGCCTCTCTCTACAGCCTACTCTCATACTACCAAGTCATTACTACCATTTGAATACGAGCAGGATGTACTTGAGAAGCAGGACTTAAAAGAAAGGAAAGCAAAGGTACCACATAAAGAGAAGAATGAGTGATTTTTGCTGTGACAAGAAAGAGAATGGATCGCTCCCCCCCACTTGTCCTTTCTTTCTCCCCAGAGACGAAGAAGCCTGACAAGCTGGCCATTAGGAAGGTAATTTGACAAGCTGTGCAGAGTGCTTTCGCTGCGCCCTTACACCTCTTGAACATCATGAAGCCTTGTTCTGTACCCCTAGTTGATATTAAGGGA